ATTAGTTCTGTGAAACAAAGCAAAACCAATGTTACCCCGTGTCTACATCGGACGCGATATACCGGACAAAATACTATGGAACCCATAATCAGTGATGCTGTCTACACCATAGATATACATACATATCTATGGACTACACTGGATGCGGTGCGGCACAACACGACAAATCCCCGACAGAAAACTGCTGCTGCGTTCTATTTATGACGTATTGACCCAAATTTCAAATGATTTTCAACGGTCGCTTTGTCGCGTCCAGTGTACTACAGACTTTAGTTGTTGCGGCGCAGACACGGTGTTACTCACCTATCGAGAAGAAAAAAAGCAACCTCGGTGTCCGATCACAGGCCTACCGCTCCTTGAGTTCTCTCCAGCGCTGGAAAGCTGATCCGATATTTACACGGGTCCTACTTCTTGCCTTATTGCCTTAAGCCTTCTTTTGTTCCGCAGACGTTTTCCTCTTTATTTATTTATTCGCCATCTCTATCTTTCTGTTGCTCGGCTCGCTAATGTCCGTCCTGTGCACTGAACGCTCTCTCCTCCACATCATGAGTAGACACGCCCCTTATTGCTGATTGGCTATAAGTTTTGCTATTCGGCCCAAATCAGTTTTCTAAAGCGTTTTTGAAAAATCGCTTACCCCACCTTTAAGAGACCCTAAAATAAAGTGTTACCAAACAGACCCAAATGAATCATTTGTTGTCATCCAGTAATAGTCTAGAGCTGTAAAATGAATGTGGAGCAGCTCATCATTTGACCAGCTGGTCATCTGATGATAAATGTTTGAGTTAATATTGAGATCCCTGACTTTTGATTGCAGAGTTTAGTATTTTGAACAATGCTGAGCCCAGTTTGAGACATTGTTGAAATCATGTGAGATTTTTAGGGTTGTGTTTTCTCTGGAGATTCTCTATTTGTTTTCTCTACAGTCCTGTCTAGGATGAACAGGAGACGTCATTTGTGATTTTTCTTTTGTCCAGGCACACAAATGCTCTCATATTCGTAGTGTGGTTCTGTATGGTTGTTTACAGCAGATGAGGTGGACACCATGTGATTTCTCCAAACCAGGGGAACTAATAGCATCGTGTGACTCATAGGACAGTTACCAGCAGCTTAAACGACTAATCAACAACAGGCCTATAGACTGATGAGAATAGTGCTGAGAACAGACTCCATTGTGTCGAGCGGTAGTATTTTTAAAGGCTCTGCTCTTAATTTGATGTCAAACCGCAGAAGTAATTATTGCATTTGTTTTTTTTTTTCCCCCTCATGGATTTTACAACCTGTTGTTTTCTGTGAAAGGGAACAAATTGCATCCATTTAGCTTTCTGAGTTTAAAGTGACTCACGGTCTATACACTCACACTGTTTTAGCACAGATTTGATCAGCACTGTACAGCACATTGTTTCCCAT